CTATTGTGGTGTTTTAGTAAATCATCAGGAAACTGTTGAGGTACATTCTAACTATTGTGGTGTTTTAGTAAATCATCAGGAAACTGTTGAGGTACATTCTAACTATTGTGGTGTTTTAGTAAATCATCAGGAAACTGTTGAGTTATATTCAGTTTCCTGATGATTTAGTTGAGTTACATTCTAACTATTGTGGTGTTTTAGTAAATCATCAGGAAAATTTTAGTAATCTGAATGCATTTTACAAATAAAAGTTGAAGAAAAAAACTATGACTAATCTAAATTATTGTTCAGGAACATTCCTAGTACATATTATATTAAACAAGACAAATATAACACTAGAAACATATTAGTACTGTAAAACGTGTTTCAAGAACAGTTCTAAAATGAGTTTCAGACAACTTGTTCTAAATATGGATGATGATACATTCCTTACACTGTATTAACCATGGTTTCTGAAAGTTGACAGTAAAATATAAAATTTAAACAACGAAAAACCAATACTTATAATCAAAATCCTAAAGCTGAATAGTAAGAGCATTTCACATAAACAATATTATTTCAGCAATGAATAAAATAAAGAGATGTGAAGTAACTCTAATATATAATTCTTTTGTCATTTATTCATCATAAATGAAATGGTTATTTTATTCAGCTTTTTGTGATTCACACGTGTGAAACAACATTCAACCTTTCACGCCCAAAAGAATTGTATTTATATTTAAATATATATTTCAAGGTGCAGCATATAATCTAAAACAAACAGAGCTGTTATGTAATTGTTTCTGATTTTGACACTTTGGGTTATCTTGGTGTGTCACAATATAGAAATAATACTGCAAGTCAACTTATTAATTACATAATATTTGTAACTCACCATGGTATTACTACCTGAAGTGATCAGTAGCAATAGAGAAACATTACTTACTGTTAGAGCTGAAACTATTCTGCTTGATGAGTAGATTCATTACAGCAAATCCTCTCACACCATAATGTTTCAATGTGTTTAACCTTCTCCAACTACCAGATGTCACGGAGGTGTAATCTTCATCCATGAGGGTTAAGTGATCACTATGAGTATGTCTCCATTCTAGAGTCAAAGAAGTCACAATTTTCATGTTCTATTTTAGTAACTTACATATTTATGCAATCTCAAAACTGTTGGCTTACTGTTGGGAGAGATGGTTTATAAAAGTTTCATTTATCAATCAACAAAGTCAATCAACTACAGAACTGTCATAAAATACAAAAAACAAGTGTTTATGTATAAAATACAAAACTATCTATGGAACATATTACAAAGCAATTAACTTATGTTTCATGATAGAAAGTGATACAAATTTAAACATTATACAGCATTTTTCCATAACACTGTTAAATTATACCTCTAGAATGGTACACTTTTAGGAACATAGGGTGATTATAAAGGGAGATTTGCAGTTCAGTACATCATATCTCACAAATGGTATGGGAAGATGATGATGATGCAGAGAGATGTTGAGGATATCATCTGGATAAAAATGCCACTATTGTCATATGTTGTCATGGATGCTATTGAAATTTCTTGCAAATATTTTTTATGGATATGAATGGGATTGTCGATCGCCATGCCACTTGTTCAACTAACATGAAACTGATAAATGGACAGAGAGGTGAACCAGTGAAATGTTGTTACACCAAAGGATGCAATGTTGAGGCAGCTCTCAGAGAAAATTATAGAGTGCATAACATCTGCAGACAACCTTGTTCCAGTGTTTCTGTGTGCAAGGTTATAAAAAATTTTATGAAGCAGGTTGCACTTGTCACAAGCCCCATACACACAGTGTCATGATATAAAAGACTGCTTAGTTCAGATATTATTGACTGATTTCTGTTTGTGAGTGAATATTTTATTATTGTTTAGTTTTTGTTATAATAAGAGTTAAAAGCAGACGATTGTAGGAAGTTTTGTAAATAATTCATTGATGTAGAGACTATTGAACGTCACATGCAATACACTGACGCTGAGAATATAGATGGCGAACAGGGACATACGATTAAGGGATAAAGATATAAATAGCATGACAGAGGCAGATAACAGCAGTCAAAAGTAAAGTTACAGGCCAAGGAAAAGTTTGGCGTGAAGTTAACTACTGTAGAAGAGATAGGCCTAACATTTAATATGTTAGAGTAAGACTAACAAGAGATAAGAAGAAGAATTATTCCATCAAAGCATGGTTCTAAAGTAACTGAATCAGCCTCATTGCACTTTGACAATAGGAACAGAGGAAATTTAGAAGAAAGAAGACTAGTGCGATAGTAATAGAGAAGATTGTTTGGCTTGTCAACTGATATTCTAAAGTAATTGAATTGGCCTAAGTGGACTTTTGACAAGAAGAAGAGAAGTACATATATAGTGTTTATGATATGCCTATAATCTCTATAGTGTGAAGAATTTGTTGTGCATATGTTTAACTTGTTCCGAATATATATATTATTTGAAAACAAGTAGAGTGCGTGCTGTTTATTTATCGTTGAATTTATTGCTAACAAGTCACAGACATCTACTGTAGAAGAATTCTAAGCCCAACAACAACATAGTATATATATTTATACTATTAGAAATATAAGTAGAAGCCTTTTATTTTGACAATTAGTGAAAAAGAGAAAGAATTATATATTATAAATTCTGACACACAAATCACGATCACCTACTGAAACTATAGCTGAGGTCAGCCATATAATAGCACAACAAGTCAACCCAATTGCATGTGGGTGCAGCAGTGAAGCTTATATCACCGGTGTCTGGATTTTCTAATTTCAGCTGTTCATAAAGATCAACATTGCAAATTTTTCCTTACAAGTTGCACTATGTTTATGCACTGAAAGAAATAAATTTAACTTGATATATTGATTTTGCATTTCAGCAGGGGTGGATTAAGGTGGAGACTATTGGGGCTGTAGCCCTAGGACCAGGTTAAAAAAAAAGGCTCAAAAGTTTTTTGTTTTTTTTACCTTAGTCTTTAGTTGCGATCATAATAGGCCAGTAGAAAAATTTAACCCCAGGCCTGTCTGACCCTTAATCCACCTCTGGATTTCAGCTCTTGTAATGTTCTTTGTCACATAGATGCAATGCATTCTAGATGCTGGAGGAGCATATCTTGAACGGTTATTATGACTGATCAGTCATTTGATCATAGTAGTGACCCTGGTGGCAATATGCAGCAACTGTGTCATTTTCCTCTGCACAATACCCTTGTGTAATTTCACTTTCCTATGCTATACCACTTGTAAGATATGATGCAATGAACTGCAAAACTATATTTATAATTACTTTGTATATAATAAAAATAGTTTTATAGATAATAACATAAGAATTTTCAAATCAAATTAAAAAATTAAAACAATTCTTTATTGGCTTCTTACCTAAATCAACTTCATTAATGGAAGGTCGCAGAGAGAATGGCGTATTTTTGTACAAAGCATCCAGAACTTTAGCTTTCACTTGGCTTATGGTATCACAGTCATTCACTTTGACCTGGATTCTTTCATCTTGGTTTTCCTGGAGCACATGAATTGTCTGCAAATATTCATAAGTTTTTGTTTAAGTAAGTACTTGCTAACATTTGAAAAAGAAACTTTTAATGGCAAATGTCAAAAATATAGTAGGAAGGTATTTCACTTTCATTATTTTTTTGCTCAGCTATCCTAAAAAAAAAAGACTCTTCTAAAAATATCTCAATAAATAAGATAAGTCTCTGACCAATTTTTTTCAGTACAGTGTTTCATATCTATATACAGAAGGTTGAGTATATTATATTAACACAGTTTTGAATATGCAACTCAGCAAATTATGTGACAAACACAGCCAATATAAAATTATAGTGGAATAGAATGTATCACAATTGCATTTTACCATTTGGGAAAGTTATGTAACAGGTCTTTTCAATGCAAAATATTCATACAATCAGATCATAAAAATTTCTTCAGATCAGGTACATCCCTTGAATTTAATGGCATTGGAAAATTAAAAAATGTGGATCAGCTCGGGACACAAGGACCATTCAGAAAGAGAACTACAACAATCTATACCCCAGCCATGGCAAAAAAGAATGTAGAATATTTTAACAGGTGAAAAATATCAGTGGTAAAAGCTATCCATATTTTCCAGGCAACAGTATGCAAAATAATCAAGAAGGATCTCCTTCTGGAAAAGTAACAAAAATCATGTCTACACAAGTTACTTCCACAACATATTCATTCAACTGTTGCATACCTCAAGCAGCTAAAGAATGATATGAGTATTCATGCTATTCCATACTAAAACACACCAGTCAAGTCATTGAATGCAGTATCTCTGAATTTTTATATGATTGGTTTATTAAAATGGGCACTGAGAATCTATTGACCTCATACTCTCAATGGATTATGGAGATCATACAGGGAAGAGTTGTGTGCTTTGTACACAACAGCCTGACAACAAAGCTTTTTGCAATGGAATATACGCTGTAGTGCTATTTCAAAGGTGCATGGTTGTTAGATAGAGCATGACCAGATTGGACTGAATGATGTGATATTCTCCAAAACTCTACAAAGAAAACATACCCATGAGATATACAAAAAAAAAATACTAATCTAGTTGAATAATCTCTTGAATATACACCAACAATTAGAAGTATCTAAAACACATAATTTTATTAAGCACTCTTGGCTACTTGACCAGACTGAAGTTGTCTTTTCAAGTATTTTGTGTAAGAGTATTCAATGTAACTATACTTTTTAGGCAATCAGTGATTGAGCCTCCTAGTTTATTAATATACATATGCTACAGAAATAGGTTGTAACATGAAAGTATTGATTTTCATAGGTTTATTGATCAGATAAAGATAGGTTTCTACAGCTTTTCTGTATCTGGCAAACAACCAATTTTGACCTTGAACCACTCACAGAATCACAACATTATAGGGACTAAAGTAGTTTTTTAGGTTTTCATAAAGCCTAATTACCAAGTAAAGCTATTAAGTAGAAGAAAAACCTCAAAACCAGTCCTTTATCATTCATATAATTATCAATATTTCTCTTAAATTCACTTAAATTTAATGCCTACACAGTATAAGTTTTACAGGTCATTTTCACTAGAAGATTTTATGACTTTGAAATATAGGTTTTAACAGATTTTATAGGCTTTTATAGATTAAGTGGGAGGTCTGAAATGTTAATTAAGAAAAATTTGAAAAAGAAAAGTAATTCATTCATTAATATTTGTTTCAAATCACTTACTAGTATATTTTTCCGTGTGAACAATTTGTGAACTCCTCAAGCTTTTGAAACAGAAAACAATTAAAGCTCACAATACCCTATGTTTTCTATTACTTTCCCACTCAGAACAGCTATCTTTCTATTACAGGGACCAACAAACACATGACTTACCACAGTGGAACATTCAATGTGTTCTTTTAACAACTTCTGCTCTGAGAGAGAGTAACGAGCATCATTTGTCAAAGCATCAATTGGTCCTTTCTCAACCTGATGCTTCATGGCACTAAAAAGTAAAAACAAACTCCTGCTTGCATGGTCCTAAATAATAAATAAAAAAACAACAACAATAACTTCTTCATAACTTTGGGTGTTTTCTGCCCAATTTTGACTCAGATAAAATATTACATCAAGAGTAAAATTTATTAAGTCACAGGATTTTTTGAAAATTTAATTTAAAAAATGTGAGCTTTAGTACTTAAAAATAATAATCACAATAGTTTATAAAAACAAATTCGACTACCAACTCATGTAAAAGTTTGCTTATAAAATGAATTTTGTTTTAAACTATATTTTGGTGTATTTGTTTATAGAAGTTATATACATGTTTGTATAAATCTTACACTTACTTTTAAATAGTCATACATATTTAATGCCATCCAATTGGTCAACATCTTCTCAACCACAGATTCTGTCCTGAAATGATGTATATATATATATATATATATATCTTAAATACTTGGACACCATTACAAACTACAAATAAAACAAATATTAATATCTATGAAATTTATTTTTCTCTTCTAAACATGGTTTCATATTCCTTTGACTTATCCAGTTGAAAGTCTCCCCCCTCCCTTTTATATATATATATACTCAATTTTTTTGTTTTGGTAATATAATTATTTTTTTATGATTATATCCATAAAGTAAAACTTACCGAATAAACAAAGTTTCGAGTTTTTTGTGGATGAAGTACTAATCTGTATCAGATAAAGAAATGAAAAAAAATCTATGTTTGGCTCAAAAAGTACAAAAAATAAATGAAAATACCAACTTACCTTCTTAGCATCAACTGTGGATTATTTGTTTTAACCGATTTTTCTATTAGTTGACCAAGAAGTGTTTTCAATATGCTAAAGAAACCATAAAACAAAGTCTGTGTTAGAATTTTCTAATCTAACTATATTTGAGTTTATTTTTTGAACCTTAATGAGAATGATAATATTAAGTTCATAATTAATTTGTGGAGTCTTGTTTCACTTCTTCACAGTAAACTGTAAGTTAATCACAACATCTATTTTTTGATAATGATAATTTACATATCAACTAAAGACAGCAATTTTTATAATTCAGTATTCTCTTGAAACATACTAGACATGAATCTTGACTAAAAGTCTATTTGTAAACTATATCTAATTCACTGATGCTATAATAAAAACGTTGCTGAATTTAAAACTTTAGTCATTCATAATAATATATTTCCAACTAGTTTAACCCTCACAATTAGGAGAGAGTATTACTCATCCTGTAACATTTGCTACCTACACAACGCTTTAGGAGGCAATGCTACTTAACCTGTAGTATGCACCACCTACACAACACGTTAGGAGGTAATGTTACTCATTCTGTAACATATTATGTTTACACATCACATTAGGAGGTAATGTTACTCATTCTGTAGCATGTTTATTTACACAATACGTTAGGACATAATGTTATTCATCCTGTAGCATGTTTATTTACACAATATGTTAGGACATAATGTTATTCATCCTGTAGCATGTTTATTTACACAATATGTTAGGACATAATGTTATTTATCCTGTAGCATGTTTATTTACACAATATGTTAGGACATAATGTTATTCATCCTGTAGCATGTTTATTTACATAATATGTTAGGACAGAATGTTACTCACTCAGTAGCATATTCCATCTTCTCCATTAGTGCAATCATCAGCAGTGAAGCTACATTGACCCTAGAAATTTACGAGTTTAATATGTTAAATTGAAAAATGGATGTATTAATAAAGCTCATTCTGTCTCGCAAACATCAAGTTATCTACTGCTTGGAAACATGAATCATTGCACATACACATTATATATGCTTATATAAACATTTTTACAAAAAACTTTGAGTTGTATACATATAATAATGTCTTTGCAATCAAACAATTTATAGAAGTATTGATTATTACATTCAAAATTCTTTAAACAAGTAAGTATAGTGTAATAAATATTTTGACAATTTGCTTACCCTTTAAGTTACCCTAAAAGTATTAATAATAATGTAACGTACATATCAGTGTTCAGGTAAAGAAAAGAAAAACAGTCTTTGTATACAATTTGGATACAAAAAGGAAAAGTGTGCATAAAGAACAAAAGACAAAGAAATCACTGTCTGTGGTATAAGATTGCCTCTGACCTGTCCTTTATTGTGAAGGTCTTCTGTGCTTCTAAAACTCCAATGAAAGTAATGAGAAAGGTTTTGTTGTGCAGGAGTTGCTGGAATTGATTCATTGCAGCATCATAGTTATTACAAAATCCATTTGACTTCATCTATAATTAAAAAATAACCATTACAAGGAAGGCAAGAATATCTACTGTGAAATTATCTATAAAAAACAAAACATTACAAGGAAGGCAAGAATAACTACTGTGACATTATCTATAAGAAACAAAACATTACAAGGAAGGTAAGAATAACTACTGTGACTTTATCTATAAGAAACAAAATATTACAAGGAAAGGCAAGAATAACTAATGTGACATTATCTATAAGAAACAAAATATTACAAGGAAAGCAAGAATAACTACTGTGACTTTATCTATAAGAAACAAAATATTACAAGGAAGGCAAGAATAACTAATGTGACATTATCTATAAGAAACAAAATATTACAAGGAAAGCAAGAATAACTACTGTGACATTATCTATAAGAAACAAAATATTACAAGGAAAGCAAGAGTATCTACTGTGACATTATCTATAAAAACAAAACATTACAAGAAAGCAAGAGTATCTACTGTGACTTTATCTATAAAACATAACATTACAAGGAAAGCAAGAATATCTACTGTGACTATCTATATAAACAAAACATTACAAGGAAGGTAAGAATATCTACTGTGACTTTCTATATAAACACCAATCATTACAAGGAAGGCAAGAGTATCTACTGTGACTTTATTAATTAAAAGGAAAAAAGGAAAGCCTGGATATCTACTGTGATTTTATCTATGAAATATATTTAAAAAAAAACATGGATATCTACTGTTATGCAGAAAGAATGATGATGCTAAAAAACTTTGTATTTTCTTGATAAACGAACACCTTTGATTTCAGTCTCCAGTTTGTGAATCAGAAGAATTTATTTTATACAGTGGTGTTTTTCATCACTGGCCCTAGCTAAGACTTTAAACAAATTAGATGTGATCACAATGTCACAATTTTCTACAGCATGTTTGGCTATGTTCAATTTGACCTAAAATTTGAGTGTTTTTTTATATGTGTTATAAGTTTCATTTTTGTAGATCCTTGTAACACATATAAAAGCACACTTTTTATATTCTTTCTTTATACAAAAGATTAACAAAGCTAAATTTTAGAAAGGTTTGAAATCTTTAACTGCAAAGTCTTGAGAACTTATAAGAATACCATATCATTCAGCAAAAAGAAAAATGTGAATACTTGTCGTGCTGACAGGAACAGTTTTCCAGATGTTATGTGATTTAATTTTCAATTGAAGCAAATACATTTAAAAGTTAACATAAAATGTATATCACAGGAAAATCACATTTGGTTCTAGTATAAAGAAGAAACAACAATATCTTTACATTAGTCTGCAATATTGGATGGCCATAAACTCCTGGAAAAAACACTTTTATGACGAAAGTCCTATGGTCAAGTATCGGGATTCCGGAAGCTTGAAGGTCACATGTTATATCTGTCATGTCTGTCTGAAGTTCTGCGAAAGCTGTAAAATTAAGGATGCTAGCATTAATTATATTTTGAATACCTTGATATCATATTTTTATAAGAGTAATTTTTCCAATTTAATTATGAAATGTAACAACACACAGGTATATTTTACCAATACTATAACCACTAAAAATGTTATTTATCTATTCCATATCTTTTTACTAAGGCCTTACACTTCAGAAAAATTATATTTATATATTAAGGCAGCATTTCCCAAACTTTTGTCATCCATATCCCCCTTTAATAAATATGGTTTCTTGCATGCCCCCTCTTTTTTTTAAATGAGAGAAAGAGTGAGTTAAGTGATGAGTTATAATACATGGATACACATTAAGATGCTGTATGTGATGTAATAAGTAATTATTATTTTCAATAATACAAATATATTTAAACACTTAATTTTGCATTATTGCACTATTGACTCTACTCTAATCACTTGCCATACTTTGGGAAATATTGTACTAATATATTAAACTGTCATTGTATGATATTTCCAGTAATTGATTAAACTTCTCACCTTGCTTGCACTCAGACCGTACACTATTTTCTAAAGTGTCCATCTGTAGCTGGATGCGCTTATACTCTTGCTCTGCTTGAGAGTTTTTGTAACGTAGAGTAACAAGTGTAATTACACTGAGAATCATAAGCAGTCCACCACCTACTGCAATACCCCAAATTGCTTCTGTTGGAAATTCATATAATTTGGTCACCTCATAGCGTAAGTATCCAATTTCATATTGTAGATTTTCTCCAACATGCACCTGAAGATAATGAGAAATTATAAAATCAATTCTTGGAGGAGTAATATACCTTTAAATCCAATATTACTTAAGAAAATAACTCAGAAATAAAATGCCAGATCACTTAGTCACAAGGATTATAGTTTAAAGAAAATACAATTTATTATTTTCAATGGTATTAAATTCAGATCAGGAAAGACTGATTTTGTACTCCAACAGTTTTCGATGCACTGAATTCTCTGTGGTTCTTAAAATCCACAACTTTCTCTCATTATGAAAATAAAGCTAATATTATGTGTCAAGAATTAAACTCACATGTATATGTTTATAGTGTTTTGTTAAAGAGAAGAAGGAAAGATTTTCAATTTATCTCTTCTATATGTACAAAGAAAAACCATAGCTTCAAGAATTATACCATTTTATATTATGGTTTAATACAGTTGGTCATGTTGAAGCATCTGACACCTACAATCAGTAACAAATAATATACACTTACTACAACCAGAGGAAGATCAGTATTACTTCTTTGGTTATCATTGGCTGGGGGTTGGTCTTTTGGAGGTAGACAAACTAACTGAGTCATAGTCAGTGATGTTAAGTTGCAGGTACAAGTTCCAACCTTTACTGAAACTTCAGATTCTGAAGCAGCCAGCAAGAGGCCATTACCCTATTGTAATATAAAGTGGCATAAATAGAATGAAATCAAACCACAGATGAAAATTAAAAGTTAAAAGTTTTAATACAGTAAGTTTATAATATATCTTAAACTACTTAATCGATAAAATAACTAATGCAGTGAATAACCAAAGCCAAATGAATGGATGTTATCTGTAAGTAACTGAAAATTCCCCATACAAGCTTAGTAAGTTTAGTAGAGTACAGTCAGAACAGTTAAAATTAAGTTCCTTAACAAGTTGAAATGATGTGTTGTAAAATACAGCAAGTGGAAATATAAACAGAAAAAAAGTTATATTTTGCATAATGAAATACTCAATAATCAGCTATTTTGCTTTGATGTGGTATTATGAAGTGGAAGGGTATAACTCCATAATGTATTCTATATGTAACCCAGTTAATCTTTACCATTATATATATATATATATATATATATATATTTGTAGGCAGA